AAGAACACAACTTTTTCCTAATTTAACCTAAGCTGTATCTCCAACAGGTACTGAGATTCCCATGCTTAGGATCCTTATCTTGGACACACTGTATATGAAGTTGATGATCCGTGTCTAGCGCCTTCATTAGCTTTATCATTACCTGTGATTCCTGAATGCCCTGGAACCCAGTACAAAGTTAATTTGTTCCTGTTTGCAAGTTCATTCAGTTCTTCAATGCATTTCCAGACCAGTTTTGAGGTCACCTTCGGGTTTGTCAGAGCCCCTAGTGCGCTCTTGGTGTCTGTTAAAATATTGATCCTCTCATTTCTTTGAGGTCTCAATTTAATAAGCCTTGCACACAGCAAGATGGCATACACTTCCACCTGAAAGACGGAAACATGTTTTCTGGATGACTAATGGTCTTCCACTCTTCACGGCTTATGATTTTGGCCGTGAAGTTTGTGTTAAAGGTGTACTTCGGTGTCACGTGGTCCGTGCACATATCTAATATGTGATCCTCCACATGTTCCAAAATATCTGTTTGTTCCGATCTTTTGTAGTTCGGTGATTTTTCCAGTCTGCATTGCCCCATTCTGGCCTCCCTCATTATCACAAAGTGTAAAGGAGGTAGATTCAGGAGTGTCTCCAATGCAGCTGTTGTGGTAGTTCTCATTGCTCCCGTCATTCCCAAACATTCAAGTCTTTGCACCTTGCCTAGTTTGTTGATAGTGGTCGCCTGCTTCATCTTTGGCCACCAGACCAGAGATGGGTATGTTATCATGGTTTTAACCACCATTATGTATAGCCAATATACCATGTCTGGTTTAAGCCCTCCGCTTTCCTTTTTACCTTGTCCAAGTGTTGGTTCCAGGTCAGATCAACGAAACCCTTTACTTGAGTCCAAACGGGTTCAATGGTGAGGGAGCAGACACACAGTAATAAAATTTCGTATCTGTGCCATCTTGTCGACTGAATATTTCGTGAAACGAGCTCTATTTGAAGATCGTTTTCAACCATAGTTTCGTCAAGTGGTTTAATTTTATGTTGAAGCCGCTCATAGATTTCAGCTTTTTTCATGCATGCTTCTCTGGAATGATAATTTGCATTTATTACGCAATTGTGATGCACTGTTTGGAACCCTTGGTGTAGTAATGAATATTACTGGAGTGTTTTCCCATCACCAAACCGTTATTTTAACACCTCGACATGTGTTTCGATCACCAGGTGATCACCTTCATGAAGATCAAACATTGCAATAACAGAGTTAGGCGAAACGAGGTCTAACATTTGCCCAAAATATTCTTCAAACACATCTTCATTTATCTCTTTGTGGTAATTGCTAGAATGCTTCAACATCAATAAACCGCCCTTAAGAAAACCATCAACACTTCCAATGTGGGTAATGAATAGTCGCTTACTTTTTCCAAAAGAAGACTTCAATACGGTAGACCAGCCTTCTAAAAATACCTGACGTGATCTTGGAATGATTTTGTCTTGCCATAAGGCGAGGGCTGCATCATTAATTCATATTCTTCAGGTAATCAGGGTACATCAAAATAATCAGATTAACGAAGAAAAGAGAATTGAAACTTTCTATGTTTTTTACCACTTTTATTTGTAACGAACGTTACTGCAGTTTCGTCCTATAAGGACATTTTCAAACTTATACATTAATGTATGAGTATAACGTGTTTTCGTCAATAGTACCCCGTGAGATTTCCGGAATGAACTGAGTTTATGTGATGTATACTTCAGATTACGTTAATCTTCACAAAAAATCTAGGGGTGTCATGTCAGGTGACCTAGCGGGCCAACGTTTAATGTGGTTACTCAGAATATCTCCCAAGCGGTAACATTGTGTGTGCCATTCTCAAAATACATGTGCTCATGACAGATCAACTACATTGTGGTCTGTAAAGTTCCGACCTCAACATGAAGGTCGTAAATGGAATAGTGAACTTTGTTGTTGCTTATTTCTCACTAACGTTTCAGCCATTTTGGATGCGCAGTTGTCATGTAACAGTCGTTTGAGTGCGTAGATATCAGTGTTTCTATGAAAATGAACAAAATCGACTATCAAGCTGTCATTAAATATTTGGTTTTGAAAGGCAATACGCCTCGCAAATCAAAAGTAAGTTAGACTCATATACTATAGCAATATTTTGGGCAGCTGAATTTAAAAGCAGTCTAACAGCTTGGAAGACTATATACGTTCGTGACTTCCAAAAACTTCAACTACCGATGAAAACATCGCCAAAGTTCACTTTGGCTAGACCATCGCCGAGTTAAAGTGAGAGACAGCAGAGGCTATAAACGTGTTTTCGCATATTAAATCAATATGTTGTCACGAGAAAGCGATCTGCGTGTTGGTGCCGCGTTTGCTCACGTTAGACCAAACAGGTGTTCGAATGAACATTTCCAAAGCTTTGTTGTCGCAGTTTAGGCACAATAAATTGGAGTTTTGGCGCCGACTCATTACTGTAGATGAAAGTTGGATACACCATTATACGTCCGAAAGAAATATACAGTCCAAACAGTGGACTGCAAAGTGGAAACCGGCTCCAAAAAAAGCAAAAACTAGTTTTTCGGCTGGGAAAGTGATGGTGACTGTTTTTTGGGATCGAATATCTTCAAAAAGGAAAACCCGTGACAGGAGCATACTACGCACTATTACTTGACAAGCTGAAGGCAGAACTTGCAGAAAAACGCCACATTTCCAAAAAAAATCCTGTTTCATCAATGCCATGCACACCTCACACCTCAGCGGTTGTTATGGCGAAAATACACGAATTACGATTGGAACTGTTTGACTATCCGCCTTACTTACCCGATCTAGCCCCAGGCGACTTATTTTTGTTCCTTCATCTGAAAATTGCCCTCGGAGGACAGAGATTTCCGTCAAATGAAGAAGTCATCACCTTTGTAAACAATTATTTTGCAGAAAAAAACGCCAAGTACTATTTGCACACTACTTGAGAGCATCGCTGGGAGAAGTGTATAGAGTTGAAATTAGAGTATGTCGGAAATTTTTCAGACCACCTTACTTGCTTTTTGTCTATTTGTCTTTTTCCGAATCACTCTCTAATACTGTTTCCTGAAATATGTTCACTGGAAAAGGTTGATAAATTGTATGAAATGAATTTGTATAAAGACTTTGACATTATTGATGATCAACAATTGGAACATATATTGGAATTAACTAAAGTTAGTTTTGAACACAATTTTTATTGAAATCATGGTCGCAGATTTTGGGAAATTATGAGAAACTGTCAAATACTCAGGAGCGAATTGTCCGATTTGCAAAAATANTTATGAGAAACTGTCAAATACTCAGGAGCGAATTGTCCGATTTGCAAAAATAAGTCATTGTTAGAGATACAAACGATGTATTACCAGACCCAATTTTTCTTTGAGAATTGAATTATTAGACTTTTTTGGTGGTAATTGACGGCACACAGTACAATAAACTATTCCTTTCCATATAAATTTTATTCGACCTTGATATCCAGTGACGTTCAAAAGTTGAGAGAGTAGGGGGAGCTTTAACGCCCTCACTGTATGATATTTAACTTGTTTCGCGACAAATTAAATCATAATTCGATCGTACATGAGTCGATAACCTTTCTTTTGTTCCAGGTGTGGTTCAAAAACAGGAGAGCAAAATGCCGCACTACCAATAAAACAAGTAACCATGTTATCGCCCGTAGAACCACTACCGCCCCTCGGAAGGTAAGAGTATCAAAACCCTCCCCCGAGGTAGTCCAAGCAGACCCCCCTTCCCCCTCAGAGGTTCCCCCCCCAAAAATTCCACCACCAGAGATGACGGTGAAAAAGGAACCGTCACAAGTTCAAATCTATAACGGAACAGATTTCAATAATTTACCCCTGAGTTCCCCAAGCATATCATCTTCTGGGCATGGAAGCTACAACTATAATGGGTGCAATCGGTACCCAGTAAATTCGTATGGCTACGTTCATCCGCAACGGTATCATCCATCGCACCAGCAGCATTTGGACTACTTTCGCAGCCAGTACAACCACAACCAAGTGCAAGCTGGGTACCATAACGGAGCTCATATATCCACCTACATGGGAGAAATTCCCGCTCCCCCCGTGGGTAGCCATGGCCATAACAGAACAAACTGCAATATGAATGGAGCAGAATGCAATATGAACGGTCACGTGGCATCCTATCCGTTTTCCCAATATCCCCAATATCCCCAATACAGGCCAATGACTGCTTTGAACCAGGAAGATGAAATCGAACACACTCAGCATTTACTTTGTGATAATAATTTTGTAAATCTACTTTTGTACGTTTTAGTGGTAGAGGAGAACCCAATGACACTTTATTTGTCTTTAGTTTGACTCAAGGTGGAAATTTATTGACAAATTCCCACTTTTCTTGAGTTCTTAACCTCCGTCTTACCGGCAATTCACTACCAGGGGCCCAAAAGCATATAATATCTCAGAAACAAATTGGTTGATACAGGAATTATTGATTTTTTTAGTTTCATGTCATGCTCAGTAAACATGAAAAAGATAAATGAATATAGCTTTTTAGAATTCTTGGAAAGTAGCTACTGGTTTACCAATTTTTCTTTAGGATTTTTGTTAATGACCTTCCTGTCGTAATTAATGCTATCATTGGAAAATCAATTAACATAGAGAGAAAATACTGGATTTATTTGAATAACACTATTATTACTATTCATGATATACAAAAGTTTTAGGTAGCTTACTTAATTGGTTAATAGTGAAATAGTGTGTAGCCCAGTATGTACTATTCATTTCTACCGGGAAAGTTACGGTGTTAGCAAAGCGCGTTTAAATATAAAGATTGTTTGTGGAAATTGTTTAATTATCATGGATGGCGTTATTCATTTTCATCAACAGGTTGGTCCATTCTTAACTTAACGTAACCTAACTCACCCTAATTTAACTCAACTTAACTTAACCCAACTTAATTTACCTTAGTTTAACTTAATTTAACTTGATTTAACTCAACATAATTTAACTTGATTTAACTTAACGTAATTTAACTTAACTTAACTTAATTTAATTTAACTTAACTAGCTGGAATTTTGACTGAACTCTAAAAGATTGACACTTTGTAGAATCTTTTTATCGTTAATGTGTCTGCAGTTTGTGATTCTCAATTGTTGCTTGTTTGTGTATTCCAAATCTCGAAACGTCACGTGTATATCAATTTCGTAAATACGAGAGAGAGAAATCACAAACGAAGTCGTCAGTATTATTTTAAATGTAACCCTGTACGTAATGTCTTGAATGTTATATGCTGATATGATATAGTTTTGAGAGGCCCCTGGTAGTGAATAGTAGATGGTAAGTGTATTAAAAAAAGTCTAGTGGTTCACAAAGTGTAATGTACAATTGACTCTAAAAAACCTTCTTTAAAAAGTCGAATACAAGTTTCAAGGTTATGTATGTATATACCCGGATAGCACATAATGTAGAACATTGACACAAAGTTTGACTTGATTAACTGTCTCATCATGTCAACCAAGTTTGAGTTTCATTTTTGGCAAGAATTCATCAGATACAAGTTGTGGTAATATGTCTCATAGTGATCCGTGTCAATTTATATGGAGTATATCGAGTAGATAGTTTGTTATAATATTCTTCGATTGACTTTCGACTTTTTTGCCTATTCTGTGAATGATTATATTTATCTTGAAATATCTATGACTGTTTTAAGTACTGTACAGGAATAGGTTAGCAATATTTTCTTGTGATAAGTAGGTTAAGTGTAGTATGTGGTAGGTAATTATTTTTCCAAAAAATCTAGAATCTAGAAACGTCAGATACAAGGTATAATATATGATTGTGCACTTCGTGTAATTCTCTTTTCAGTTATTTGTTATTTTGAAAACTACCCAAATCACAATAGTTTGAGTAGTTTGAGTAATGTCAAATATTTCCTTCTATAAACTTATTAAGTCTAAGATGTACAATAATCTGAAAAATAAACCAAAATGAGTCACCAACTTGTAATATATCGCAATCCCAATTTGTCAAAAGCAACAAAATGATTAAGAAAAAACTTTTTTATAAGATTCGGGCTACAGTCCTTGAATACAATTTTGGATCTAAACTAGTGTAGAGTAGAAATTCAAGAATCAAAATATGTCTGAAAAACTGACGTCGTTTATTGAAAATCTACATTTCATTTGGAGGTTAACTGGTTCTTCATTTCATAGGGATAAATGATTTGTTTTGATTGTAAAACCAGGCCCTGGAAATCTTCATTGTTATTTTTAGTTTTATTTAAGATGAATGATTCCGTTCATAAAAATATTCAAAGTGGGATTACACAAAATATATAGAATTGACATTATCCAGCAATTAGTGTGGTGTAGCAATGAAAAGGCGAAATCAATTTCTTTTAGGTTAGAATTTCTCAGATGTTACAGCTACCGGACTGGGTCATGGCCGGTGAGAGAAATCGTATCTGCTTAAAGTATTAAAAATATGTTTTTGCAATTTACTTTTGAATTCCATCACTAACGAAATACGGTCCTGAATTTGGATGTTTACAGCTCGAATAATCTAACAGACTGATAACAGATTTCTACACATCTACTGCACATCTTGAGGAGGGGGCTTCTCACCGGCCAGTACACAGTCCGGCAGCTGTAGTATCGCATTATTGACACGTGAAGTGTTATTGGGTTTTATATATTTTACTGCAGTGCTATTTCGTCCAGTGTATATAATACCGGTGTTCTTTTAGTTAAAATTATACAGTGTGGAAGAGCTAACAATTAATATTTCGTAAAAATTCCGCCCTCAAATTTAAAATCTTCACCCAACTAACAACTAAGGATCATATATTTCAAAGAGGAGAAACGCCTTCAGAGAGAAAAAATGTGATAATATTTGCCTTGAATAATTGAATATAGCTCGCACAAGTTTCGACTTCTGAGGGTTGTCGCTCGTAGGGGTGCGACAACTGGTTAATGGAAAACAGATTAAAGAATCAGCTAACTCATGGGTGGCAAAAATGGCAAAAATTAGAACGATTATCGCGAAGTAATTTCCTGTAAAATCTATAAATTTTAATGGGTGAAAATGATGTCAAAAAGCAGCTATACTTAATTGCAAGAGTGCCTTGAAGTCATCAAGGAACGAGATGATCTGAAATAATATTAGGTAGTATTGACTAGGTGAAGGTTATCAAAGCCCAATTATTCATAAACTATTATTAATCTGGTCAACAATTGCTTTTCAGATCAAATTAATAAACGAGTTGGCATTTAATTCGAAATAGTATGTGAAAGAGTTTTTGAAAACATTCAAGTGCCGCTTACATGAATTGCAAAAGTTATGAACAACTAAGTGAAAAAATGAGTTTTGTTTATTTGCAAAAAAAGATTCAATAAGAGGGAGAAATTTCACAAAATAATGTATGTCTCCCGAAATTGTAGAACCAATATTTATGATTATCCCAGAGGGTTGAAAATACGTCCCAAAACGGGTACTTTGACCGCGGATTACTGTTCTCTCGTATATCCAGTAGGTGCCTGAATTTCTTCAATTCTCAATTTTGATATTTAATAAGTTGAAATAATATTTATTATTGAAGGTCTCAAAATGGTCGTGTCTTGCGCAAGCCAGAGTGAGTACCAGTTTTAGGGTACCCCTCTGGGGAAATTTCAAATATTGGTTCTACAGTTCCGGGAGGTAAGAAATTTTCGAGATAATCTTTCCTCAATTTCAAAAAATGTCGAATAGTTTTTAAAATATTCGCATAAAACCAGATCCATTTTTTTCAGTTAATTGTTTATAACTTTTGCAACTTTTACAAGCGGCCCTTGATTTTTTCAAAAATCGTGTACATGCTATTCCGAAACGAATGACACTCTCATATTTCCCGTAGGCTGAGAAAAAAGTTTGATCTATAATGCACTTGTTGACCAGACTATATTTTATGGAGAATATTCTCCAATTTTCGACATCTAATTTACTTCGATTTTTTTCCCGCGTTGGTAAATATAAGATTAATGTAACGTAAACATGTTTTCATTCGGAAAGATCTCCCACCTAATCAAGGACAAAGTAACGTAATTATAATTAAAAATGTTAGTTGGGAGAGGATTGCAACATCTAAATTTCCGAAAGATCTCTACTCAAAAGACTTCAGCATGGTCCTGCTGCGAGACTATTTTCGTGAGGTATCTTGCATAAATGTCTGAAGAATATAATTGAATATCCATCGTGGTATTAGCCAGGGAAATAGTTTTTTTCCGGCAAGCATTCACTAGAACCTACGGTGTAGGTAGATCGCAGAGATGAATATTTGAGATTTTATTTCGAAATGAAATTGTCTTATATCTCTTTGCCTTTGAAATTGTTTTCAGATGTAAAACAAAAATCAACATTGAAAAAATCCGATTGGTTGGTGTTTCGTCTATGACCGAGAAAAAGTTTCATATACCAAATTTTTCACAAATATATAAAAAGTCAAGTGGCGTAAGATCGGGTGAACTTCTGGGTTTTTGACTGTTCTTATGAATTTTGACAATCAGGTATTTTCAATGTTAATTTTTGTATTGAATCTGAACATTTTCAAAAGGACTTTCACAAAACTTTTTGTATGATGTATCATAAGCTTTTACGTTTCGTTTGAATATTTCGGTTGCAATCCTCAGTACTGGGAAGATAAATTTAAGAACGTGATTTTCACGAAGTTAGATGAAATTTTTGAATTTGAAGTAGAAATGTTTCAGGATTTTTTGTAATATGCTTAAAGATTGAGATAGTAAATTTAATCCACTTCCTTCCCTGTTCCACACTTGTATACTTTTTCCATAGTTTTTAAAGTTACGCTAACTAATCGAGGTATTAATTTTGGGAACGGTTAATAATCGTATGGGATAATTTGTTTATATGTGACTCAGATGTGATTTGTTAAAACTGCATACATGAGACTAATTTATATTTGACATGACTTGCTGCTATTTATAACGTATTTCTGTTCGTTAAACCGTGCTAAAATTACTGCCTCTTTTATCTATAGTTTGAATATTGAAAAGTTGTGAACTGATTCTTGCGGTTGAATTTTAACGAACCGTTTTGCTAATCAATGAAATGATTTGTTTTTATCTTGTTTATATATTATTCAAATATGAATATTTTCGAACTGTAAATAAATATATGAAGCGTACATCAGTGTTTTATTATTGAAGTCCTATTAATTCAAAATAATATTCGTATATTATATTTCCCGTAACAATATTTGGAGAGCAATTCAACACCGGTTTGGTTATTTCATTTGGAATTGAACCGTCATAAATTCATAATTCGATAATATATGAATTCACTGCGATTTCAGTTGTGTTGAATTT